AATGTTCGTGTATTCTTCCAGTTTAGCTGACGAGCAGCTGCAGCAGCAGCAGCAGCACCAGCAATGATGGATTTAGGCACCTGACGCTTGCGATTCTGCTTCCTTGTAGTTTACGTGTCGCTTGCCGGCTTCGCGTCGCCGCTTAATCAAGCAGACGCTTGGTCGCTGTTAGTCAGCAGTTCCTTACAGTTGTCTCTCGCAGTCCCACTGTTACTGTTCTAATGTATGTGAAGAACAAAAAGATGAAAGGACGCTTCTGTTCTTGAGGAAATAACGCGTCGGGTGTTACTGCTTGTCAACTTCGGCATCACGCTTACGTGTCTTTCGTCGACCGCGACGAAACGCGGCGCGACGCAGAAACAGACAACCCGTACCAGGGCAGCAAAATAGTACTGAACAGCAACAGGCTGTAGTAGAGGTGGTAGTAGTACTTCAGTGACTTCAGCAATTGAAGCCGGCTACTTGTTGCTCCGGTGGCTCCCGGCCGGTAACCGTCAACAGCACAAGTAGCAATAGCTGGAGCCTGCCAAATTCACTTGTCTATGCTTTTATTTATGTATCTCTGTATATGTCCTACATATGTATGCAGTGAATGCAACCAGCAACGCTAGCAATCGACCAGCAAGCGTTTGCATCATCGCCGTCACCGCTGCTGCTGCCGTCATCGAGGTCACTCGTTGGCTGGCTAGCGAAACCATCATCAATCTAACAGGTTTGGCAACACGGTGCAATACGCTGCCAGTGTTGCTGCTCGCTTACTGATCGGCGCTACGTCGAACAGTGGCAGCCGTAGCGACCGCTGTTCCTATGGCGATTGCCAGTTTCCAGAGTAAATAATGCTGGAATTAAAGGTAATCAAATGGTATGATGGCAAAATGCTGCCTCCCCTATCGTTTTATTCGCTGCCTCACTCATTGCAGTGTGGTCCGCGTCGCTTGATTCTGGTTGCGGCAATGACGCGAAGGCCGCCAATGAACGACCACGGTGGTCGTGGTCGCCGTCGTGACGACGGCGACAACGTCAATCCAACTCGCCATCAGAGATAGACAACACGTTAGCAGATCAGAGGACAGCCCAGTATAGGACGACACGAGAATCTGATGTTCGCCAAACCACAGAGCGCAAACAGACAAATAGGCAGCAGTCCTTCTCTAGGAGCCCGCCACGGAGAAGTCCAAAGAACGGTTAAAACTTGGCACTCGTTTAACAAACGTGATAGTAATAATACAAGCAATGCTAGTGCCACCGGCAAAGGCACAGGTTTATTTTCGACATTTTTCTATCACTAGCGGTAAGCAGATAGTATTGTCACTATAGTACGGGGGGCAGCAGCGACGAACCTGGATAACAACGTATAGGAGATATAACTCTGTATATGGCGCTATGCTATCGTATTGTATTATGCGTGTTCCATGGTAAAGAAAATAAATGTTGTCATACAAGAACATCACACAACGTTAATTAACGTTAAAAAACATGCTCTATAAACTGTAGAAAAAAGTATATTCATACTAAATGTTAGCGTAGTTATCTCGTCTAATACGGGTTGTTTCCACGGTAAGAATCTGAGTGATAATGTAAAGATAAGATTTGGTTATTGCAGCCGTGAGAGCAATATGTCAACATCACGAGGATGAACAGACAAAGCAACGATCACGACGACAACGACTTTGTGCGTAAGTGTACCGCCCGCTAACGCTCTTCCCTTTTTCCATGTTGCAGCAGCAGCAGCAAGACCTTCGTCGACCTCTCTCAAGACATTCGAAAACACACACGCGCAAACGTACACACACACATATATGTTCTACTCGCCGTTGTATCTGTCTGACGCGACGATCCAATGGCCCGCGTTCGTGTTCGCTTGTATCGTAGTGTTTTCCTTTCTCTCATGTCGTCATCGTTGTTGTTGTTATTTGCTGCCTCATTCTCGGCAGCGACGTGTCTACTGGCGTAAAAGGTACATGCCTACCCATCCACATGCTTCTGCTACGTGCTAGCGGTGAGCGAACAAAGCCGATACTAAAAACGGGCAGAAGTAGCAAGAGGTGGGCCCCTGGGCGGCTAGCAGCCAGTGCTGGTTGCTCAAACTGCAGCTGCCCCTTTCGCCCCGCCGTCATTGGCTCGTTCGCTCTTTACCTGGCTAGCTAGCCACCCAGCCGCCCCTGCCCGCTGTCGCTTAGCCGTTGCTGTTGCCACTAGAAGTAATAATAATGGAGAACGACCGCAACGTCAACGATGATAAGAGAACTGCAGCGAACAAATGAGCAAGCCAGGCGGGGAATCGAAGCAAGCAGCGACGCGCTCATGTAAGCCGACGCTCAATAACGGTCAACAACAGTGGTCTGTTTAGCTGCCACTTTGGCCAGCTGCCTGAGAGGAACGAAAACACTCCACAGAGCTCTTCAATAGCGGCAATACAGGGCCGCTTTTAGGTCACAGATAGCAACCAATATAGCTGTCGTAACCTCTCCTTGTACTACTGCGCTGCAAAGAGGGCCTGGCAGCAGCAGCCAGTGGAGTGGGCCGCAGCAAAGCATCCAGCATTCGGCAATACTACTTTGTTCCGTTCGAAAGCGAGAAAGATAAACGACGGGCTAGATTTCAGGTAAAGCATGGTATTATGAACAACGATAGAAGCATCGAAGCCGGCTATCAGTGACGGGGGATGCTGGCTAAGCCGAAAGCGAGCTGGCCATTAGTGAAGTTCGCGTTGGCAATAACTATGATCCCCTACGGCTGTGAAACATGAGGGACAACCACGTCGCTTGTGACGAACCCCATAATTGCAGCTACAGAGGAGATGAAATTTAAAGTAACGTCCAACAAGTTATATAGTATATATATATATCTGTTATGCGTGTGCCGATCGCTACGACACGTTATGGGAGGGTTAACAACGACGGATTACATCAGCGAGGAGCCGTTTACACAAGGTGGGTCAAATCGCCTCACCAGGACCAGTAATGGACCAATCAAAAAACAAGCTGATACCACTACCTGTTCGCGAGCTACAGGCCACCACTGGTCAGCCATGGCAACGCCAAAGGACGGTAACTACTAGAATATATCTGATGATTGTGACGCTTCCCTACGGCGTCGTGGTCTGTCTGCCTATCTCTTTTGAAGTCCACGTCTATCTAGCAGCTATCGGAAGCAGTCGTCCTCTTTCTTCTCTTAGCGACCCCTATGGCGATTGTTGCTTGTGGTAGTAATGGCAGCGCTAGAAAATTGAGACGGGTGCCGCTGATGCTAGAGCGCGAGCAGCCAACGACGTGGACTAGCAAGCGGCCGTGTGCTTCTCGTTTTTACACAAAGACAAAAAAGACGTTATGCTGAACGTTGCTGTCTATGATGCCTAGGAGGGTCAAGTAGAACGCTGCTGGCTGCTGGATAACGTCGGACTGTTGCGTGCCAACGTTCGGTGCCGCAAAGAGTCAAGGGATACAGGCAGACAGGGAGGCCAGTAAGAGAGAAGAAAGAAGCAAGCAAGCAAACAGACAGAGTGAGCGGAACGTGAACTGCTAAAGTTTCTGTTGCCAACCGTCACACCAACCACGAAACGGCGGCGACGCTAATGATTATATAGCTAGACCTACATTGGCTAGCACGGCAAAATCGGCAGAAGGCTGACGCAACGAACCGGTTACGTTGTTGCGCTCTGATCTGCGTTCGTCGCTCATCTATGGAAGGTCTCCATAGCGCCAGAGGCAAACGGCAACTGGAAGACCAAGCTCAGCGATCGACAATGGTGTGTCGTTTGCCTGTGAGCAGTCGAATGATTCACCAACCCACTACTGCTATCTACTGACTCGTTGGCACGGACAGCGTGTTGTTCACTTTCCGATTCTAGCCGAACGGGGAGGTTGCGCCAAACGCTCGCTTGGGGTAAGAAGAAAACGATACGCGATAACGTAACATACGGAAACAGAGATGGCAGCCGCTGTCGTTCTGCAGACACAGCAGCACACGGACAGGGCAGCCAAGATGCCGCCGCGAGACCCAGCTCGGGCTGAGAAAGCAACCGGCCCCGCACCCTCTCAACAGCGACAGCAATTCTTCCTTACACGCTTCTACTAGTGCGCCGACGACCCTTACGCATTCGGCCTCTCAGTCATCATCACTGCCATCGTCGTCTAGCGATAGCGGTCAAACTGCATAGATAGCTGTTATAGCAGCTCTCTGGCCTTACGCCAAGCGAAATCTTTCTCGATTCTCACACTTGCGGACTTTTGTCCTGGTACCTATATAATACAACTAAATTGCAAAAATGCTGTTCTCTGAACCTCAGTCTGCCAGTGCTCGTGGGTTCGTCGGTCTGACAACTTCGTGTAGAAACCGCAGCACGTCAAAAACCCTAGATGCTAGAACGTAAATTGAATCAGAGCAACCGTGTAGTAGACAGGTCAGAAATTCCGTCCCCAATTTCAGAGCAGCAAACTGTGAGAACACGTTTACTTCCGCGCAGCTCACCGTATTTGCAAGATCGGGACGTAGTATCGTCACGAATTATGTAATAACTTGTCATTGCACTGCAATTGTCGCAATGTTATCCAGTCGAAATGTCGATATAGACAACTACGATGATAGTTGACCACGAAGACGACTGTATGCTGGAAAAACGAACCTGTGTTTGATGCAAAAGTGGCAGATAACCCGATTTTTATTACTGTTGACACGTAAATGCGTAAGTGCAATATAACGTATTGCAGATAACAAGTCGAAGAGATTAAAGAACAGTATGAATGTTGACGATCGACATTAGCAAATAGAAAAAAAAATATCGGTGCAAACTCTTAAATAATTGAAGCTTTAAAAACTTAGCGACCGTTGTTTCAGGCCTGCTTGACGGATCGCAATCTTGAGTACAAATTCAGATACTGCATACGATTCGACCTTCCTGTTACACCAATTTCTGATTCTATAATACAGGAAACATCAAGATGACTAACTCGGACTTCCGGAAGACCAGACGGATTCGTGTAGCTTTCACTAGACCATCTAGACGTTATGCGCTACACTGTACCGTCGTCAGCCGACAAAATGACCGTTGCTATGTGATGTCGTTAAGAAATTATATGGATGGCGTTCATCTGCTCCTGTTACTGCGTTATGCTGACTGACACGGCTTATTATGAGCAAAGGCTTACTTTTCTCTCGCGATATAATAACAACAACAGCAATGACAATGCTTGTATCTTTCTGATGCCTAGAAGCTGCCATGCTGTGAACAACGTGGTTCGTTCAGGTGGGGAAGGTCCTTTAGCTAGCGTCCTCTCGTCGCCTCCTCGGCCTCCGCATCTGTCGCCTTTCCGCGAGCCCTCCTCTGACAGGAACCAACATTGCGCATTGCCAAGAACCGCTAGCACAACCATTATCATAGTTACCAGACGAATGAACTTGTCATCAGTCCACAGCTATGGCAATGGCTTGCCACTCCGACGCGGTCGAATATAATACAGGCAACGATTTTAAGCCACTCCGGCGTTCGTCCAAACGAAATTGTTCAGTCTTAACTGACCAGTCTATCAGTGGATACAAAACAACCAGGTTGGTGCGCGAACATCAGATACGTAATATATACGTAAGCTGTACGTAATATACGCTATTCAATACGCCTAATAATTGCATTTTTGTGTTACACATATGTGGAGTTAGAAAGAATAATGGTAGGATATTCGACTCGTGTCTAATTTATACATATTACCAAGCCTAGAATCAGTCGTTCCTGCATTAAGTTCCGTCGTTCCATATCTGTTAGTGTCATGTCAACACACGCAGACCGAGAAGGGGTAATGTTGGAAAGACTGCGAAGCTCAGAGAGTCGATCGTCATCCTCTAACACTCACTGATTTGCATTTGCCTATACAAAGTAAGCAACATGTTCTTACGGGATACGCACCATGATGTATAGAGTTCACAAAGGGACCATCGCTTCTTGCCTTCATCAGTTGTAAAAATTATAGTCGAGCTGACGTCATCTCAATATTGTGCTAACACTCCACCCTGCTGAGTACTCCGCCTTCCATCTGTCCATTTTCTCCTATATCAAGCAACTCAAACTGCTCACATATAAACACCCATTTATGAACGTAAAGGCACACACTACACACCTATTATAATGGAGTCACTATATAATATACATACAGGTCGAACTACTTATCTAGATAGCTACTAAATATGTATTTCTGCTCCTAAAATATTTTACCCAGTTCGTATAGTTTATAGGTACATTAAATAGGTCTTAGGCAACACTTTCAATGAAAAAACTAGCACATCAATAGGCTTAGCGCCGTCATACTGAGCATTGCCAAAGGAAAAAGCAAGCTTTAGTATGAATCACGTCCCCTCTATAGTCCCCATTTCCTCCAACTAAAAGAATCTCTTTCTTGGGGGAAAATGCGCACTCCGTCCAAAAATACAGATTAGGCCGAACTTTAGTAAATAAAAGGCAGCCATCACTTCTTTATCACGTTAGAAGGACGCAATCGGAACGACATGGTCGCAGTAGATGGGTTACAAGGATGGTGCATTCTATATGACCCGTATAAAGAAGCTAATGCCCAAATTTAGTGATTTTTAGACTTGACGTGGTAGCCTCCTGTGAGCGCTTGTCCGTGAGGTGAATATGAGTTTAGTTGAGAACGGGATCAAGAACATGGATATGACGCGATAAAGCCGTTTCAGTGGCTTCGTTTGCCCTTTGCTGTTTGCAACCCAGAGTTTTTGGATTAGTGTCGGGTCGAATCCAGGTGACGGCGGCTGTATTTTGGTTGTTGTCGCTTGGTTAGTCCTGCAGAGGTCGTTGCCAGCCTTGCCGTTGGGTTGGGTGCTAACCTCGCGGCCAAGGTGGGTGAGAAGCACCGGCGAGGGAGTCGGATGGAGGGAAGGAGCCGCTCGCCTCGTCCACGCGTCCCATTCCACTCGACTCCTCCACGCATCCGCGGCCAGCAGCTTCCAGCCAGCACTGGAACCCTATCCTATCGGACTGCTACCATGGCCGCCGCCACCATTAGGCCACCCGCGCGCCCATCAGCCGGAGCCCGACGCCCAAAGAAAGGAGGACCCCACTGCTGCCGCCCGCTGCTCGGCTTACCCTCTCGGCCCTCGCGGCTCGCCCTTGTCGCGTCAGCAGCACCAACAGTAGCAGCCACGGCAACCGGCAAGCGAGCGAACGAGCGAGTCGCTCGATCGGTTAGCCCTCAACCCTCAGCCTTATCGGCCCTTACGACTCTCGCGTGGCTCCTCCACTGACGCGTGGTCGGCCGACGGGTGAATTAGTGGACCGATTGTGAGACAGGCAGGCCCGCGGTGGGGGAACAGGCACGGATAATAAAGGTGACAGCAGCAGCGGTGAGTGGCGACATCAGAAAGGCAGCAACTCTCTCGGCTGGCTCTTGCTTCGCCGTTGTCTGCCCCTCCGTCTGCTTGGCGCTCATGTTTTCGCCCTACGTCTTCTTGCAGCGGTCCGCCCGCCTCGGACGAACTCCCTCTCTTCAGTCCTCTTCGCCATTTCGGCGCACTCCACTCTTCAGTCAGGTCCCGCACAGTCACTCTCCAGACAGCTGCTCTCCACCTCCATCACGACCACGGCCATCACCATTGAACATCACTGATACCAGCACTTCTATGACTCTCCACTCTAGAAAAGCGGGCGCGCGCGGTCCAGAGGCTTTCCACTGGCTGCTAACAACTATCCTACGACCCTAGACGATCTGGACAGTAGATCGAACGAGCAAACGATCGGGCAAACGCCGCCTACTACGTGCGATCGCGCGTATTTACAAAACGACGCCGATGGCGAGCACGAAGACTCGCTGAACCCTTATTACTTACCTCAGTGAAGCCTTGATACAGCAAACGGCGACGAGCGCATACACCGATGTATTGTTACAACGATTCGTTTCTAAGATCGTCGTTCACCGAGACAACGGGACCCAGGTCACGATGCCGTCACAGCCTTTGCCAATATTGGCTCGTAGCCCCCTTACCGACATCGTCGAGGCCAGGACAAGAACAATATGGTTATGTTGTTGTTATGATGATGATGTTACTGCTAATGCTACTACGTGGACCGCGCAGAGATCTACAGACACAGCGGCGGCAGCAGATTTGTCTGTGTGACGATAACGACAATAATCGCACCGCGCCCACTTGGCAACCAAGATCTGCCTGCTGCCTGCCTGGGATAGCTTGTCTGGCGCTACTGCTGCTGCTGCTGCCGCCTCTGCTACCTAGCGATGGCGGCAATCGCAGTGGTGCTAGCAGTCGTTGCTATATATTCTTCTGCTAGCAGACGGACAGATAGGCAAACAGGCTGGCTGACTGGCTGACTAGCAAGTATCCTGCGCGTTGTTCTCAGCTAGCAGCCATTCAGCTAACTTAGCCTCACACAGCACAGCGATGCTAGTCGATGTTTTCAATGGATCACTGAGTTGGCCGCTGTCGCAGCAGCAGCTGCGGTCGCCGGGTTCGCGCATGCGCCCGACATCCCATACAGATGCTTGTAGTAGTCGTAGTGGTCTAGATCGACATAGGGTGAGCTAGGTGGCTAGGCGACTCTCTAACCGCCCAGGCAACCTCCTGCGGCGTTTGCATCGAGCAAGCAAGCCCTGCTTGATATTCCGTAGGACGTTGATGGCCTTACCGCCCGCCCGATCACCAGTCCGTTTTCCATATTGGCTGCCCTGCGTGTGCAGTACGCTTCTAAACTGTGGACTGCCTATGGGTACTGAGACAGCCCGTGTCTGCGACCCGAGATGTACTCTATGCAGACTGGAGTGCTGCAGCAATCGCAATCCACAGCAGCGGCATTGACTGCCGGACTGCTCAGTTCAGGCTGCACAAAACCACCCACTCCCCACCTACTGCTTTCTAGAACTACAACCTACTACTACTGCTAGCACCGCATGAGAAAGCTCGCTATATGACGCAAAACGCAGACCCCGCTCACTGACTTGTTTTCTTTATAGGTAACATCCAACCGAGCGAGGCAGGATGGACCCGATCTGGGCCGCATTCGGAGAGAGCGAAAGGGAGACCCGTCCAGAGGGGACAGCTTTCGGGACCGCTGGGGGTGGAGTTAAACAAGCGCGAGAGAGTCCGCCATCACGACTATGAGCATAGGACCATTTCTAACTAGGCCTTGGTGTCGGGAGAAACTACACCAGACATGGCGCAGGAACTTAAAGAGCATCGTATACGCGATCTTCAATTAATAAGAATTGCATCTAGGTCTACAATATTCAACCTTTGCTGATACTGTTTTCTGTGTCCAAATCAACTTTAACGTCTCAAAGTTGTGCTTAGTCTCATAGGATGCCCCGAATCCTAAATAAATTTGCAACAAACCATCGAACTGACCATTTTTCAGCATAATGTAAATTATACACCGTTTATCCTGTTCGTTAAAAAATTCGGACCTGATCCAACATATCCATGTTTCGACCCAGCTTTTTTGTTCGACTACTCTTTGGGTTATATACTTTATCAGCGAAACATAAGGAAAAATTGTTGGTAGTCATTACACACTTATCATGCAACAAAGAACATTGATGCAAGACTTCGATCATTCATTGACGATATGTTTCCAGGGCGACACCGTATGTTCTTTTTACTGCAGTTCACCCTGAATTACCCTTAATTATATTCGTGTTATATAGCCTAGTATTGACCATTCAGAGCATTAGTGTTGTAGACCTGGGGCTTTATAGGGCTAAATGAGCTGTATAACTGATTACGTCGTTAGCTAAAGTGCACGCCATCACTAGCAATCACTGTAGTTGACAGGAAGCGGTCAGCGAAACTGCACAAGTATCAACTTTTGATCTGCCGCTTTGCAACTGCCCGTCTATTTAGATCGTTCGTAAAATAGAATAACAGATCTGCCACAAAGAAGCGGCTCGGATGAACCACTGAGGATTTGCCGCCGCAACAGCTCCTTTTCAGTCGACATTGTTAGCTCCCTTCGAGGAGCAGCTCTTTGCTTTCGGTCAAATACACACACAAACACACATTTACGCACGAGTTCATGTTCGACTCTGCGAGATGTTCTGTGGTATATCTCTCTGTGTTGAGTGAAGCCGTAGGCAGTTGTTGTCCTAATCTCTATATCGCCATTTCTATGTCCTTGGCTGTGTGCGTGTGTTCGAGTGTGTAGATTGCTTGGCCGTCAAGGTTTGAGAAAACGACAAGCGCTATCGGCTCTGAGCCTGCATAAGCCATGAGCTAAACCGCTATCTCAGCAGCTGGCTAGCAGCGTTGGACTTGAATGGGCTGCGTACCGTCAATGTGACTCGTATCCATCGGTGGCTGTCACAGCATGCGTCGCCTACCTCCGAATTTGTGCTAGCATGTATGACACTCTGCGTTGTGAGAGAGACCTGTCCTACTCTAAGAGACCATGTTTCGTGGGGGTTTTCGACAAATATCCTCAATGTCTACCTCCCAACCGCCTGCTGCCTACGTTGCTTCTGTTAGTATTTCGTGGCGGTGCTAGCGACAGCGGTGGTCGAGGTGAGTCGAGCCTGACGACCCTCGCCCCCCACCCC